GAAGCCATTATCACTGGACTTAATGAACCAGATGGACTTGCAGTTGATTGGATGGGTAGAAATTTATACTTCAGTGACAGTTCTGCGAATCGTATTTGTGTCAGTAAGCTTGACGGCAGCCATAAAGCTACATTGATCTCAACAGACTTGGTAAAACCAAGAGGTCTTGCTGTAGATCCTAGAGATGGGTAAGCTAAGGCTTTTTAGACATTTGAAAAATAGTGCATTTTTTAAAGAGTTAATGAAATTGTCAAAAATATTGGGAGTTGAACTTATAAATTATGATTGTATATATAGAGGATATTTCATGGGCGCGCGGAGATACGGATTTTATCTTTGAGTGTTGAAACGATTTCTCACGAGTGAGTGTAGCTTTCTTTTGCTATACTGATAAACAACTAACTAAGCCACAAACCTTATTATTTTATATTTCACAGGTTTCTATTCTGGACGGACTCAAAGCTTAATAATAGAATAGAACGTGCCAACATGGATGGTACAAACCGTACTGTACTTAAAGATTCATATGTTTACGGGGTAAACTCCCTTACAATAGATTACACACTCCGAACTATTTATTGGATAGTTTCTCATTTAGACTTTATTGCATCAATGTCATATTATGGCAGAAATCACCGTGAAATTATTGAATGGCCAATGGTTAATGCACAGCCATTCGCAATMARTGTATTYCATAACAATTTGTTCTTCTCCGATTGGAAAAAACGTGCCATTGTCAAAGTCAGTAAATTAAATGGTAAGAGAACATTGCTSTTGAGGAGTTTAATCACACCGATGGATATCAAAGTTTACCATAGGTCGCGTCAACCAACAGCATTTAACCCCTGTGCAAAAAAKAACTGTGGMTGCCAGCATATATGTTTGATAAGTGTCCGGCAAACATGTACTTGTAAATGTGAGATGGGTTACCAACTTGGGCGAGACAACACATCTTGTGTCAAGATCAAGGAGTTTCTGCTGTACGCYCGYAGGAATGAAATATGCGGCATTCCCTTGTCTGKCAACGACAACAGCGATGTCATTAAACCAATACTCAGAATTGGAAATGCAGTTGGTTTAGACTACGACGTTCTAGARCAACACATCTACTTTACTGATATCATACGTGATAATATTAGCAGGATTTCGTTAACAGGGGAGAATTCCGAGACTCTAGTGAAAATTGTGCGTGATGCCGATGGTGTTGCAGTAGATTGGGTGGGTAGAAATCTTTACTGGAGTAATTTTGGTTTTCCAAAGATCTCTGTTAGCAAGCTAAATGGATCGTTCAGGAAGACTTTGTTTCGTCACGATGTGATCAATCCACGGGCCATTGCTCTCTATCCAGATCGCGGGTGAGTATTATATGTGTGTTATGTTTAAGGTGGATTACTGCTGTAATGTTACTTTCATCATACCTCTTTTCCATTGATGTATTTATAGCCTCAACCTATACCTACAAACTTGATTTTTGGATCAGCTATTTGTATAGAGGATATTACATGGGCGCGCGACCATGTAATATTCTGTTTATCATATAATCACATATCAAAGCAAATTATGTAGTAAAATATTTTTTTTCTCGCTTTTACTATATAGAGAGACCTCGAATGTGTTATTTTCGCTATGTAATAATTTATAATATTTGTCTATTTATTTTTTATTTTKTGCAGACTAATATTTTGGACTGACTGGGGAATCCCTGCTAAAATTGAAACAGCAAACATGGATGGAACCAAGCGACGTATCCTTGTCAAAGGCGGTGGATTACAATGGCCGAATGGGATCACTGTAGACAGACGGACAGACGAAATCTTTTGGGCAGACTCTAAGGCAGATACAATAGAGTGTGTTTTTCTTAATGGTACGAATCGAAGGGTATTACTAAGACAGCTGCATCATCCTTATGGCATTGATGTATTTAATGGTTTTATATATTGGTCTGATTGGACGACTAGAGATATAAAAAAGGTTCACAAAGAACGCTTGCATAAAGTAACTGTGCTCAAGTCTCATTTGGTGGGCGTGATGGAAATCAAGGTGTACAGTCCTATAAAACAACTTGGTAAGATTCAGTTATAGTCTTYTTCACGGTTCCCTGCGCCATCTTGAAAGGTAGCCGTGTCTTTACATCGAAACGATAAAACGGTTGTTGAGCGTACAATGATAGATAAATGTGAATRATTGTCTGTAGGTGTGAAAGAAAGTTTCTATCATTGCACGCTCAACGGTCGTCTCGCTTCGATGTATAGGTACGGCTACCTTTCAAGATGGCGCAGGTAACCGTGAAGGAGGCCATTGATTTACAGCTATTTCAAAAACGTCTGGGAGAACGGCGAACGGCGATTGTCGAAGAGAGATTGCACGACCGAAATGAACTATGGTTACACTGTTTTGATAAACAAAATTTCATTTATTGGATTTGCCTTACATAGAAATGGAAACTAAATGACCACAGAACATCTTACCGTACAAATCAGTTGTTATTGCCTTTCAACTAGCAAAACCCATGGCTACTTTTGGTCGTGCAATCCGCGCCGTTCGACCACTGACATTCGCTATTTTATCCGACAACATTTTTTGAAATAGCTTTATAAGAATATTTGGATTGGTGTATCACTCACACTGCAGAACATCAAAGTAACACGCTTTAGTTTTATTTCAGGATCAAGCCCTAGCCCTTGTGCTAATGGCAGAAGTGGTTGTAGTCACCTTTGCCTGCTGAACCCTGCTGGATTCTCATGTCACTGTCCGTTTAACATGACTCTGAGTRACAAGGATAACAAGACATGTATACACTGTAAGAAAGGAATTATTACTAGTTATCATAGATTATATATCATCCTATCTC